TGAGGATTCCAAGGCACAGAGAAATGAAGGAACTTTTTTGTAGTGTGCATGAGTCCGTATGGCTTCAACCCAGCACTGCATCACTCCCCTTGAGCATGGAAACATAGTTTTGGTAGCACTGACTGCGGGCAGGCTAACCAAGGCCATTCTGTTTTTCTCTCTTGCAAAATGTGCTGCAACCCATTCCTTTTTAAAATTCAAGGACTGACCTTTATTTACCTTTCGAGTATAGCAATCAAAACCATATCAGAACAGCATACCATTTGACGTTGGAAGAATCTAAGCACCATTTCTGCACTGAGGACTAATGGTCATCATTTGTGTGAGTGTGTAGGACTGTAAAGGTCAACGGACAGAAGAAAATAGCAGTAAGCAGCACACACACAAGGGCAGATTGGATGGCAGGGTCACATCATTCATCAGTTTTACAACAACGTTGGCCTTTGTCAACATTTCCTAAAGGAAAAAATCATAAGGCAGCAAAGACAAAGAACTGCAAATGAACAAAACTGGAAACAGGTTAAGACCTCTGTGAAAACTAGAGAGACTGTATCTTTTTACTTCAAAAGACAATCCAGCTCCCTATTCTCTGGAGAATTGTTTCTTGTTTCCCATCTGCTGCTCTGATTTCTTCACTTTGCCCAGAGTAGAAAATTTCCTCATTCCTTACTGTCTCTGTAAATTTTCTACACCAAACACCTCGTAGAAGCAACCTGAGAAATTATATCAGCATGAAATTTCGTTTTGCATTAAAGTGTTTCATTAGCTGCAAAATAGCAGACAGACAAGGTTTCACTATTTCCATTTTGGACTCGCAAAAGAAAATGCAAATAGATCAGAATCTATTATGCTTCGTGTTGAATGACTACCTTTACTTCTCCTCTTGCTGATTACTTAGATTCTATTAAGGCTTTTTTTTTTTTTTTTCTGGTGTCTTTCTTAATATGGTGTTGAGGTGATGTAATGCATCCCTTATCAGTGACTTGCATATGTGACATGACTTACATATTAAAGCCCCTTAGATTTTAGTATCCTGAATTCCTTTGCCATAATATTCACTGGTTAAATAAAAACCTGCTTAAGAAGATAACACGAAAGTATTCTAGCATACAGAAGGCTCCCTTAGTACAGTGTGCTTTACACATGGGTGAGGCGTTTCCTTGCTCTTCCATTTTTGTTTTATAAACATCATTTTCCCTTTAAATTTGGTTCTTTGGTATAAATTTAGAGCTGTGTTTCACAGGTTTTTCTCACAATGAAGTTATAGGATTTATTAATTTTGTTCTTTGTTTTGAAAACCTCATTTTGTGAGAGATATAGTATATCTTGTGGCTGTTGCAGGTTGCAAGACTTACTGCTATAAAGATAATAAATTCTAGCGGCTTTACACAGATTTTTAAAGGTTTTTGTTTTGTTTTATTTTGTTTTCCAAAAAGCTTTTAAGGAGTTGGTTGTAGCACTGAACTAATGACTTGTAGAAAAACCGGCTTAGAAAAAGAAAGAGGAAGAGAAAAGAAAAGAAAAAAGGGAAAAGAAAAGCTGGTTAGGGAAGACAGTTCTCCATCCTTTTTGGAGCTTCCACTGGGATAGTGAAGTATTGCCCTAAACGAATTGTGCTTCCTTCCCAGATTTCTCAAAGTGCTTTGCCACTGAGTAGCTCTCCACTGCCCTGACTTTGGTAGTAGGAAAGTTTCTACCTTCATTTGATATTACAGATATTCACACCAATAGCTAGGATGCCAGGTGGAAGCCAGTTAAGTTTCATTCCGAATTATTTTAAATCAGCTCTCTCTGACAACACTGTTTGGCAGTTTGACAGTTTTTCATATTTCTTTTAAATTTTAATTGTAACCCATCAAGTCTTAAGCAATTACTTCTGGGTTAGACTCTTGATGAATGTCATAGCAGGGTGTTTTAATTTAATGGATCCAGAAAAACATCTGTTTCTAATATTTTAAAAGCCAATTTATATGGAAATTCATTTAATGCACAGTCAATACACGGAGACTTGAAAAATCAAAATGGAAAATCAAACTTCTGTGATGTAGTCAGTCTTCTGTTAACAAAGGATTTTACTTATACTAGGTTCAGTTGGTACTAGTTAACTCTCAAAATATCATAGTTTAGAAAAGGATAGCAATTTACTTCTCATATGCAAGAAACAGGGAGGTTGTTGGCTAGGACTGGTATGCTGTGCCGTGGCAGGGTCTCAATTTCCTCCAGTCTTCTCGGTTTTCATGTGGGATTCTTATCCCTAAGAACACTTTATGGCCAAGATGTCTGCTGGAGCTCTGCAATTACATGTATGCTCCATGTAGCATGAAGGCGGTAGAGGCAAAATGAGGGCAGGAAGGTAAACTTTTCCCCTTAGGACACACTCTTGGAGTAGTAGCCCAAAGTTAGTCATATGACCGTGTTTAGCATCCGAGGAAATATGCCTAATAACCATGTTGCTCAGCTAAAGACTACATTTCTGTTAATATGGAGAAGAGACGAGATACTGGGGGGCAGTGAACTATCTCGGCTAGGTATTATAATTTTCAAGACGTGGTTTTAACAGATGTGCCTTTTGGCTAGTCAATTAGTTCTCGTAAATAGATAGTATACATGAAAGGACTAGCATGGTCTTGGCAAGTCATAGATAATCATCAGGTGGCTAATCATCATTGATCTGTTTTAATTCTGACCCCCTAAATCTAATGAATTTCAGAAGTTAAGGATCAGGCACACTTGAATAGAACTCTGTAAAGCTTGTAGCCCAGTCTCCTATTCCACTTTATTGTAATCATAATATCAGCTAATAGGGCAGAGATGTCATTTGTACTAGGGTGCTGAGAATGCTCATGTATCTGCAAAGCAATGTTCTTGGTTCTCTATATAGAAGATAAATGAACAATTACAAGTGTTTGTTAAGTGATTCCAATTAAGGTTGACTATTATCACAGAAACTGAAGCTCACATAGGTTAATTAAGAAGCCACTTAGAGAAGCTGTTGGAAACTACTGTTGCCCAGTCATTTGATTCCAATTGGCATAATGCTACCTATTTCCACGGGCTGTCACTTTGGTTGTGTTTCTTAATCTGTTTGAATCTCTGTTGCATTTTCTTGTGTTTTTTTGTTTGTTTGTTTTAATCTGGTGCTAAATTACTGAGCTAGGGCTCAGGAATGTTTATTTCCCCTTAGTCTCTCAATTGGGGCTTTTCCAACCTGAATTTTGGTAACATTTATGGAAGTTTTTCTCTGATCACAGCTGCCTCATATCAAAGGGCCGAACTGGTAAAGGAGCTACAGGGAAATGTCCATAGGCGGCCTCCATCATGTAGTTTTCAGCCACACTTGCCTGAACTTCCTAGAGCAGCTCATACCGCAGATCAGGCAAGAGTTTTCTAGTTCTGGAAGGTTGCTGTCCTGCCGGCTTCTAACTCATGTTCCTCTTTCATGTTTCTGGAAACAGAGAGATAGATCCACTATGAATACAAAATACTGCCGACTCCATGCTGCTTCCTAGGAATTTCTACACCGAATCATTTATATGCTATCTTCCACAAGTGTGCCATATCTACATATACCAGTAGTACTGGTTCCTTAATATTGACCTTTATATTGACTTTTAAATTTTTGACAGCTTTGTTCTGAGCAAACATCTATAAAACTCATTACTCACAAGAAAATTAATTTTTCTTGCACATTCACCTTTAACTAAATATAAACATGAACACTGTTATAGAGTGTCTTTTCATAACCCCCCAGCGGTATGTGCATTACATTTTTGGAAGCCCAGTATAGTGAAAAAAAAGAAAAAAAGCACAAGCCAGAAAACTCTATTCTGCCTCTTCTACAGGTCAGTGTGAGACCTCTGAGAGCAGGGAAGTGGGAAAGGCTGGAGTTTACTGTGAAGGAAGAGGGCAGGCTGGGTGCTGAGAGCCCTTCTGCTCAGTCTCGCTGGGCTTCTGGGCCTTGGCTGCTCATTGGAGCATGGGCACCAGCTTGGAGCTTATCAGAGGCACACAGTCTGTCTTAGCTGCTTTTCTCATTGCTGAGATAAAATACCTGGCACCCAGTGTTAAAGGAGGAAAGGTTCATTGTAGCTCATAGTGTGCACAGGTTTCACTCTACAGTAGGCTGGCCCCAAGGCAGGGTGGCATGGCAGAAAAGATCGCAGAGGAGACACAGCCCACAGCAAAGCAAGACAGGCAAAAGGCAGCAAAGCAGGGAGCAGAGCAGCTAGCGGCAAGGGAGGACCACAGCAGCCCTCTTTCTGACTTTTATATTCTATCCAGGCTGTCCACCTTTCGGCAAGTAGCACTCACACCATGAGTCAATCCCAACGTCACATCCTTAATTTCAGCGTCAGACCCCAGATCCATCGACCTCTGAAGAACCCCACCTATGACTGCATGAGGCATTGGCGAGCATCTAGATAGAAGCTGTAACACAGTCCCAGGCTGCTCCCCAGAACTGCTCAATCCAAACCTGCTACTCAGCAGGATCCCCATGTGATATGTGTGTATAAGAAGCACTCTTCTGGGTACTAGCATTTGATCTAAAAATTACTTTTTAGTAGAGGACCAATTCTGGCTATAGATGGTTCCTTACACCAGCGATGCCTGTGTAAACATGCAGAACCTCAGGCCTCACATCAACCTGGAGCTTGGCATCTGCATTTTTAGCCAGTGTGCACTTGGGTTTTCAGGACAGTTGTCAGCCAACTGCCACAGTGAAGCTCAAGTCAGTGACAAAATTCTTATTTTTATTTATTATCAGCAGTTACAAGGCAGGAAGCTTTTCAGGAAAAGAAGTGCTTCCCTGATGGAGCTGAATAGGGGGACGATCAGGGGGAAGATCTCAATTCAACTAAGCGTAACTGGAATCCCTGCTTAACGCCACCTCATGATGAAACTTCTGGGGAGGCAATATCTCAGCAATGTCATTTTATGTTATTCAGTTATTTTCTTTCTGCATTCTACATTTGATTTTCTGAAAACATTCTGTTTTCTAGCCGTGCCATCAAGACTAACCAGGACCTCCTCCGAGAAACTCCGTGGACACACATTTTCTACAATGACTTCTGGGGGACTCTGCTAACGCACAGCGGCAGCCACAAGTCCTACCGGCCACTCTGCACCCTTTCCTTTCGCCTGAACCACGCTGTCGGAGGCTTGAATCCCTGGAGCTACCATCTCGTCAACGTCCTGTTGCACGCGACTGTCACCGGTCTCTTCACGAGCTTCTCCAAGATTCTCCTTGGTGATGGATACTGGACCTTCATGGCTGGCTTGATGTTCGCGTCCCACCCCATCCACACAGAGGCCGTGGCGGGAATTGTGGGCCGGGCTGACGTCGGGGCCAGTCTGTTCTTCCTCCTCTCCTTGCTGTGCTACATTAAACACTGTTCCACAAGAGGCTATTCAGACCGGACCTGGGCCTGGTTCCTGGGGACAGGACTGTGTGCGGGGTGCAGCATGTTGTGGAAGGAACAAGGAGTGACTGTGCTTGCGGTTTCGGCGGTTTATGATGTCTTTGTCTTTCACAGGCTGAAGATGAAGCAGATCTTACCTACCATTTACAAAGTAAGTGATTGTTAGCCCCTGTGAGTTGGATTACTGAGTACTATACTTGCTTGGTTCTTGGCCATCATTTAAAAAGCAAATTTGTTCCTCCTCATGCAAAATTTAAAAGAAGTTCCTTTTTGATCTTGGGCTAGGGGACGTGTCCTTTTTGACCTTTCTCTGCGAAGGAGGGCTGCAGTCCCTGCTTGTTTTATTTCTCAGGTTTCTCAAGTTATTTTCATCATTTCAAAGGTGGCAGAAGAATAATTTTGCCTTATAAAGAATATCCATCTGTATTCATTGATTTTTTTTTTTTACTTCATTCTTTATTTCTACCGAATTCTCCATACTCCAATAAATTGCCTATAGTTTATTTTTATAAAGATAACAGCCAATAATGAGAGTTAGCTGCTAGGCTCTGCAGAGGGGAAATCCCCTACCATTTGTTAGCAGGACTTTTCCTGAGTTTGGAAAGCAGCCCTCTTGCTCAGCACTGCGGAGCTGACTTCTTAAACAATGACTCATATTCACCTTTTCCTTGTTGGAGTGTATAAGAAAAGTCAAAATAGAAAGTGCTCATTGTAAGTTTTGCCCTGGGGCCAACGTGGACCTTTGCCTCTGGGCTTCATGTTTCTTCTCCCAACTTCCCTTATTCCATGGCCACAGAAGCATTTTGGGATGTGAATACACTTAGAGACTGAGTAGTTACTTGCTAGAGCATTAAGGGAGGCACTGGGAGAACTGGGGCCCCTTGAGAAACTACCTGCCTTCCTCTCTTCCCTTCCTCTGTCTCTCAGAAGACTCACCTTTGGTTTGATTTAGCAATGAATCAGTCCAGGGATTGGAAACTTCAGGCAAACTTCCTTCTTGCTTTTGGACACAAGCAAGGAATTTCTTGTTGTTGTTGAGACAAGACCTTGCTATGTTGCCCAAGATTGTCTCAAACTCATGCATTCAACTGAACCCTCCTGCCTCAGCCTCCTGAATACCCAAGGCTGCAGGCATGCACCACTGCACCTGTTGAGGTAGGAATTATGGTTTTGGAAACTTGCTCTCAGGAACTTTTCATCAAGTTTTCCTAGCTTTGACTACTGTTTCTCCCCTACTTTCCAGTTTTGCTCAAAATTGAATTGGAAAGAAATTAATGAAGAAAAACTGGAGGAAAGTAGAAATAAAACACTTTTGTTGGCTATTTTGTTCACTTAGTAGACAGAATAATTACTACGGTGCTTTTGCTCTGTGGGAAATATAACCTTTTCACTTAGGACTCAACTACCTAAGACTTAATGAAGTTCTTCTGTGATTTCAATTAAATGCTGAAACTTTAAAGAAAACTCTGGGTACAGTTTGATGCTTGCAACCAACATATGGTTTGAAAGTTAAGTTCTTCATTTAGAAACAGTTTCAATTCTCTCAAAGAGAATTGGGGAGAATAATTGTTTTTTTCCTAGAATGATGTCATCAACAGCAACATACTTTCTTGTTTTCCTGAAAGTGCAAATAGTGTAATTTGTCTTTGTGCAGGTTGCAGTCAATTTCAACGTGCAAGCTCAGTTATGTTTTAGACCTTATGTTGATAGCCTCAGAAATGTGCTTTCACAGAATTTTTGTTTTACCATCTCATTACTTTAATGCATTAATTCAGGGCTTGCTTTTGGGTCTTTTTGATATTCTTTTCTGAAAAATTTTCAGTTCTCTAAATATTTTTTTTGTTGTTTGTTTGTTTTTGTTTGGTTATTTGTTTGTCTGTTTTGAGAAATGGCCTTGCTATTAATTCAGGCTGGCCTTGAACTCACAGCAATCCTCCTGCCTCAGCCTCCTGTTGGGATGACAGGTGTGGGCCACCATGCCTGGCTCTAAGTATATTTTTAAGGGCAGAGTTGTTCACTGCAGAGTTACTTACCATAAGAATATTCTAGACAAAAATAATCGGGACATACTTAGAAAATTACTTGCCTTTGAAGTTAAAATTAACTCGACATTCTATATTTTATCTGGCAACCTTATGCATGTAACTGCTGCTTGATAAAGATGAGAAATGCTGCTAGCAGAGGAGCTCCTTGGAGAGGGTTGAGGCCCTTGTGTTATGGAAAAGGACTCTGTACTATTAAAGGTTCAGTGTCCTGAGATGACACTACTTGTCCTGCTGTTAGCCATCCTTGCTTGTGGGCCAGCAGCCGCAGTGGTAGTGGCGGGGAGGGTAGCAAGACCCTTCATCTGAGAGCTGCTACCTAAGCTTTGCTGTTTCAGTCATTCTGGCTGAGCTGAAGGTTGCCCAGTAAAATTCGTACTTCTGATTGTCTAGAAATCTTTTTAGTAGATTCTGAAGTCATGAAGATGAATGAGCATAGAAAAAGATGAATGCTCTGTAGAAATGAAATGATGTGGAATGAAACCTGGAGACTTGATGTGTTCCTATGATGGGTCTATTCATCTGGAAATGGAGAGATAGTTATCATTGTTTCCTCACGTTGGGATGATTATATGAATTGCATGATGTTGAGTGTGAGCTGCCGTAACCAGTACAGTACTTGGAAGATACCTAATATATATTTGTTGAAGAGAAATAAGAAACATTGATGGAAATTAAAATTTTTTACTTTTACGAAGGTCGTGACCAAATGATAAACCTCCAGTAGTTTTTAAACGTACAGTGATTTGACAGCACATGAAATGTGAACTGCTTAGAAATTAACCCAAACTGAACTGTGCTTATGGCAGCAGAAACTTTGGTTTAGAATCTCATGACTAAGAAGCTTGTAGATTTTATAGATTGTTTACAAAAGTGACAGAAAATTCCATATTATGCCAGTGAAATATGTGGATTTCTATGCCTGGTGTGAGTTAGAAAAGATTCTTCCTGAAGGAAGTAGATGAGAAGACTTCAGAAGACCCCTTTGAACTTGCAGAGAATAATCATCTTAATTATCTTACCAGTTAACTCTGCATCCTGGTTAGGGCTTTCCAGATGATGTAAACTGCCTTGTCCAATTAAAACAACTCAAATGTGAACAGAAAACTCCAGTGCACAAATGTTTTAGCTTTATGGTACAAATTAGAGAACTGACTAAATACTGAAAACCTTAAAATGGGCATCCATGTAAAGCTGGGAGTTATCTGAAAGCAAGCATTTCTAATTTCGTATTGTAACAGTAATATTTTTATCACAGTAGACCTACTCAGTATCTCTTTTCACCATATTCCTGGTTCTGCTTCTGGAACTCGTTGTGTTGTTGTTGTTGTACTGGGCATTGGACCCAGAGCCTCGTATATGCAAGGCAAGTGCTCTACCACTGAGCTTCCCTCCCTTTCCTTTTTATTTTTGTGACAGGGTTTTGCAGTTTCCCTGGCCAGCCTTGAACTTGTAATCTTCCTGCTTCAGTCTCCTGAGTAGCTGAGATAACAGACGTGTGCCAGTGTACTCAGCTTAGTTATAAACACTTATCTGAACTCTTATTCTGCTCCCAAAGCTCAAATGTCTCACAGGGCTCTGCAGAAAAGATTATATTGAACTGAAATACTCTGGCACTACGATTCCTTTCTGTTCCATAATTGCAGTTTTTAAAAATTGCAGGCTTCTGTTCAGTAGACCTTCAGATTTTGTTAGGGAGACAGAAATTCTTTTGTGGTGTCTCCTGTTTTTTAAGATTGGTTATAAGTTAAAAAACAAACAGTCCCTGTTCAGGCTAGACAAAATATTTGAGATGATGATATTTGGCTAGTTTTAACTCCAAGCCTTGTTACAAATGATGTACATATATACTTTCTTCAGTTCTGCAGAGAATATATTGGAAGTTATGGGTTTTTTTGCTAAAGTATGTGAGAAACAGTAAGCTCTTGGCATATAGTAGGTCTTTTCTTTAATAGTTAATGAACATTTAGAGGGTTCTTACTTGTCAGGTTCTGTTCTTAGTATACTAAACTGTTAACACGTTTAACTTAACTACTTGTTGAAAGAAGCAGTATGACTTATGAAATAATATGGCTGAATACTGACAAACTATAATGTTGTCAGTAGTTAGATTTGTTAGAAATCATTAAATAAGAAGGTCTTCAGAAATATGTATGAACAAAAGTCTGTGTTTTAAAACATTCTGAGTTGTTAGCCTCGGGATTCTGTTTAATGTGGTCCTTAGTTATCCTTGGCCTGTAGCACGACACCCAGCACATAGTCGGCTTTCTGTAAATCGCTGAATTTACACTTAAGACTTGCTTTTTTAATGTGGCTGTAATGTTAAAGTGAAATCCGTAGTCTCCTCTGTTTATAATGAGAATTTTGTTACTGGCTTAGTGGGGTCTGGAAGGTGGGACTGGACGACACAGATGTCAGAAAAATAAATTTTCTTGACCTCTTACCAAATGATTATTTCAGCATTCCTTATGTTGCTTTCATTTACTTAGTTTTATGTGGTCAGAAAGTAAGGGGGAGTGGGTCCCTGAAATACACTGGAAGTAGCCTTGCAAATAAATACTGGAGTTTTATCTGCCCACAATTTTTTTTTTACAAGCCTCCCATGACCCTAGGAGGTGTATGGTTAATAAAATCAGTCAAAGCAACGTTTTTCTTGCTCAGAGTCAGTCATTACTTGTCTAGTGGCTAGTTGCGGTGCTTATTTAACATCTGTTAACTGTTTTAATGTGGAAACATCTTTTTCCCTTTTATTAGTCTCGTAATCACTTATTCAGTTACAGGTGGGAAATAAAAGGAAAAAAAGTGGAGCAGGAAATGAAATGGTCACTATAGCAATTCTCAGAATAGCTGAGGTTATTTGAAGAAATGATGCCCTTTCAGTTTGATCTTTAAGACTTTCTCTGAAGGTGACTCTTTTTTTCTTGCTGCCGTTGCTTCCAACATGTGCATTATCTTAGATTTTGTGGTTCTTTTTCACATAAACGAGATAAGATTATATTATTATACAGGAAAATGGGAGGCATTGCCATTTTTGAAAAATGAGTCATCTCTTTCTAGAAATAGTTTTTTTTTGTTTTAATATCAGAGAGGATGTGGATTCTGAATTTTG